TCGAAATAAAATCAAGTTTTGGAACGGTTTTTGGTGTAATTGAAAAATTTAAACCTTTAGAAAGAACGAGTTTTTCGGTTTCAGTTAATGATTTATTAGATACATTTATAATTGTTTTGTCCAGAAATTGTTTATTTTTTATACTAAAAACGTCATTTATTATTTTTTCGTTGAGTAATTTTTCTAGTTTATGAAATAGGAGCACTATTTATCAATCTGTAATAAAAGACGTGAGGAAATTCTGTCTTTTTTAAAGACAAAAATTTTTGAGGCGAAATACCCAAAAAGAAGTTTGTAAAAAAATTAATCCGCCTCAACAATATAGAACTTATCGATAATCTCCTAGTTTGGGCACATGAAAATCCTCGACAAATTCGTCCACCGTTTTTCACTAATTGTTTGGTTAGGAGTTTTTAATAATAATATTAGAAAGAACAGAAATATTCCTGGAATTGCTCACTAATGACCAGATTTGCCTCTTAACTTAAGACATGGACAAAGATGGATGCAACTGGCCAAATATCAATTATTCGCTACGTTGAATTGGCCGGTTATGAAGAAATGAAATAAATTATCAAGTGGTGAATGGAATTGGACCAGTGTCCTGGACAGGCAAATCACCGGATCCTAATCCACTGGACTTTTACGCCAGGGGACATACAAAAGGCAAAGTTTGTTCTCGTTCCAGTTTTAACCAAAGATTATTTAGTTTAACGAATTCACACATAGAAAATTAATGTATTGAGGAGGTTTTCGATTCTCTATCGAACATCAAAAACTTTTTGTCATAAATTGCTCCAACGTTAGTGTTTCGTTGTTGGCTCAATTATTTCGAATTTTAGTTAACATTTCCTCAACCATCGGGCATGACATGAGATTTTTGCAGCTGAAGCTGAAGTTGAGCTCTGCTTACTTCTTCATATATAGAGATTTTTGCACTTCTTGCTGCACTTTTTAAAAGTATTTGTTCGCTAAAGCAAAGTATATGCATACTATTGAATTTTCTCCTTCATAGCACAAGAAAGTCATAACTGACGAGAAAGTTTGTAAGCTTTCCGTAAAAGCAATTTTTCAGCTGAGCTGTAATCTAGAATGCTTTAAAGGAATATATGGAACTGCCTTGCATCCATTAAAAGAGTTGCATTTATTATCACTTTCCGGGAATTGAAATGTCGTCGATAAAAATTCCTTTTCTCAGGCATAAAGAAAATGTTCATCGTTGCCAAAATACAGGTTTTATCACGATAGATCTTTAATGCCAAAAAAAAAATAAAAAACTTCAACTGTATAGAAAAACGTCTTGCATTTATCACAATATTTGCCCGAACAACTCACCGTGACTAAAGAATCCGAATCCAAGCACTGGAAATCTTTCCTAGATGGACTATTGTCGGTGATTGCCTCCAAATATTTATTCTCGCTTCTTTTCTCCAGATGGTCCCCATTCGCAAACCGCAGTCGCTTCGGGCTTTCGAATGACGAACACCTCGGAATTGGGCTTCTTACAATGCTGTTTTTATTTTTCAGCGAACTTCGAGTCACGATATAATGGCCTAAGGAGGAAAATTGTTTGCTCAATTGCATATAGATGAAAAATCCCCTGTAAACAGATACACATTTTTTTAAAGCTTTCTCAACGAGCAATTCGTATTATACTTTGAGGTTCTCTGTTAATAAACCCAAATGCTCGAAGCTGTTGACAAAAAGCACCTGCGAAGACTGGAGAATTACCCGAATAAATTTTACTTTTAATAAGTAATTGAATTATTTTATCACCATACTAACTCCCTCTCATAATGAACTCATTTTCTGCAAGCTTTTGTCGTTTTCAACTTTATGAAGTATATCGTGTGTTAACACTCTCCAGATGTTCTTAGTTTGCCGCAAAATAGCGCATTTTTTGCCGAAGTTCCTTGTCAACTTATAATGAGATGACGAAAATAAATGATTACTTGCTTGCACACTCTCGAAAAAAATGAACTCGTTAGTTATCAGTTCGCTTAACTGAAAGTTATTTCCGAACGATAATTTTACCATTTCCATCTGGGTTTGATGTTCGAACAGTTCGTCCTCTCCATTCGGCTCTTCGCTTCTCCCGCAACTCCTTGCGCAATTTTCTGAAGTGGAAGTCCTCCCCCAACAGCCAGTAGGTTTGCTGATCTCCTTTCCCCTTCATGGTCACCAGACCTCTCTCAATCAGCTGGTATCCTCCCAATCTGCTTAGCAAGTCTCTGCAAGCTCTACTGCAATGGATTTTCAATGCTAAAAGGCGCGTTTAATTAGCGAACTTCTTCGTTCCGGGTTTTTTTGCAGATTTATGAACTCACGTTGCCCAGTTGATTCCATCCTGCTAGCAGTGTTCACTGTGTCGCCAAAAAGACAGTAGCGGGGCATTTTTAGGCCAACTACTCCTGCACATACTGGCCCTAAAACAACCCTTAAAAATGGCAATTTTTGAACAAATACCCTGAACTTTTACCAGAGTGAATGCCAATTCGCAACATCAGTCTTTGACCTGGCCTGTGCCTTATCGTGAAGTTTTTCACTTCAGAAAGCAAATGCAACGACATTGTGGCAATTTCTGCTGCATGTTGATAGTCGTTTTTTATTGGAAGCCCGCTCACCTAAACAAAGAGCAACTGTTGATGGATTTTTTCATTTTCAATGCAAAAGGTTTTCTTTTCTGTTGGTTTCACAGAGTTTCAAGTTTCGCTTACCACCATATAGGCGTCTCCGATAGTTTCCACTTTATAAACATCATAGTTTTCTATAATTGAGTCGAAGCATGTGTACAAGTCGTTCAAAAAATTCACCACCTGCAAGAAGTAACAAGAAGTTGTTTTCCAAAAATTGTCATGGTCAGTCAATTCACTTCAAGTTGCCTTAAAGAGAAGAAACGTTTTGGATTTTTAACACTCATCAATATGAACTCCACTTTTTCCGAGAACATTTTCCGGTTTATTTCTTTGATGTCGGTTCGTAAACTGCCGCGCCATTCTCATAAATTTCAACAAAATCGCTTTGAAACCAAGACGGGGTGAGGAAACAGCGCAAAGTCCTCACACGTCCCACACTCTTTGGGGTGTTGTTACCACCCCGTTTTGAAAAGTTTGCAGTTTTTCCTAATAACGCAATTTACCTGCAAGGGCGTACTTTCCGCAGACATGGCAGTAAATCCAACAATATCGCTAAAATATATGGTGACACAGTCAAAACCTTCCGCCTCCACTTTGTTCCCCTTCTTGAGCTGATCTGCCACAGGTTTCGGTAACATTTCATACAGCAGGGCTTCTGCAATTGTTTCTAATGTAAATTTGTCTTGGTTTTGGTGAAATTTCAACTATTTTTTGCTTTCGAATTGACGATACATTAAAATATTAAAAGCCAACGAAATGTATCAGCAGAAAATTAATCTTCGAGATAAAAAAATGTAGCAAATTAACAAAGGAATCAAATTTAAATACAGAAACGTGTGTTGGAAGCTCACCAGTCTTTTTCTTTTCTTCCTGCAGCTGATCGGTTCGTTCATCGACCAGAACCTCCAAATTGTTGGCATACTTTTCCATCATCGCCATCATGTTGTCGAATATGTTGGGTTTCCTGCAAACCGCACGATTTAATCACATTTGTAGTTCCTAAGTTTTCCCTACCCACATTCCCTTCCTCAAGGGCCGCAGTTTTGTTCGTATACTTTTAAAGTCGGGCCGCTCTTCGGGCCCTTCCATCCAGCACTCTTTCAGGCAGTCTTTCACAAAATCGCAACTGTTTTCCAGTTTATCCAAAGGGGGCCTAAAGTTGATTGAACTTGCTATGGCATTCCTGATGGAGCTTCAATATGCTAAATGTTACCTGAAGGGGGACGCCGGATTGGAACAATGGATCACTTTATTTAGAATCTCCCCTGGTGAAAAGGGTAAATCGCCAAAAGGACCGTGCCGGTTGTGCAGCTCAAACAGAATTATCCCGAAAGAATAAATATCGCCCTTTTGCGTGCCCATGGGCTGATCCTTTGCCAGGAACGAATCCTGCAAGCGTAACAGCTCTGGTGCTCTATAAAGCAACTCTGCAACAAGTAAAAGTGGTCAAAGTTGAAACCCCAAAAGCGCCTGAAGTTAATGACTGGAACCTCTTATAAAAAAAATAAAAAAGTGACTGGCATTATTTCCATTATAGAAACACTTTTAAGGATATTGAACGTGAAACATCCTCCAAAGTGCTCGAGGTGAAGCTAAAATATTAATGAAGAGGAACTATGCATCGTAGCAAAGAAAATTCAATCTTATCAGGAAAATATCTGTGTTGAAAACGCTCATACATAAAGCTCCAACAGAGGGGAAAGGAGTATGAAAAGAAAATTGAAGTGCTCAATCCTAATAATCAGGACAAATCCTGTTTAACCCCATCTCTAAAATGAGCACAATCTCAATAACATCGCAAAGTTTACTCCAACCGGATTTGAAGCGCATTTCCTATTTGGGCTTTATTTCATTAAGCTTTGTTAACAAGGGATCCTCAGACAAATAGCTTTTTAGACTTGACTGAGTATTGCCGAATTAGGGTTTAATTCGCCCAAGCATGGCTTGGATAATGAATGACTGTCGTTTCACTTTGTACGCAAAGTACAGAAAATCGTTTCAATCCCAACCAGTTTTTTTCGCATGGCATACTTACTGTAGCATTTTTCTCTGATTCGTGCCGGATCTTTGAGGGAAAAGTCATCGGAACCTTTTTTAAATTCCCTCAAACCGAAGTCGCTCAATTTCACCACCCAGCGCGAGTCCACCAAACAGTTTGCTGAATTTAAGGCTCCATGGAATCGTATTGGGGACTCGTGAAGGTAGATCATGCCCTGCAATAGAAAACATGCCTTAGTAGAACAAGAAAGGTCACCAAGTCAGTGTATTAGATAGAGAAAAGGTACTAAATATGAATAAATCAGCGCTAATAGGCGGGGCTTCGATTCGTGACCAATGAGCTATTGCATATTCAATTTGCCCCTCTTGGTTGGATAGGAATTGTTGAGACCGACGTCCATCCCCACTTAATTTGAGCATGCTGCTTCCTTCTCTAGCATTGGCGGAATTATCGATCTGCCTTGTTCTGCTCATATATCCGTTGAGAACTTCGTTCGTCACAAATTTAGGACTTAACAATTTTGTATTTTATATCTTATTACTCCGGTCAGAAAACTATTAATTGTAAGGGAATTTTCAAATTGGCGTCTGTTTTTTTTTCTTATTTATTTCGTTTGCTGTTTGCAAAAAAAAGTAATTTTGGATACAATTTATATGAGAAAGTCTCTTCTGAAAGTGAACAAAATTTCGAGTTTCAGTCATCTTCAGACAATTTTTGAAAAATTTTCAAAATAACGTTTGATTTACTAGGTTGCTTTTGCATGCCGGAGTTTAGCGTTTATTGATTAAAAAACAAAAAAGTTGCATGTGGTTTCCACGGACTTTAAGCAGGCCGTAATTTGTAAAGTGAAAGAGTTACTTTTGATTCCCGTTTGTAGGGCAAAGATTTCCCGTTTGTAGGGCATAATAGAATTTTAAAAGTTTTCAGGAAATTTTTGGAAATCGTTTCAAATTTTGCTTATATTTTGCGTTTAGTAATGCAGGCCGGAGTTTAACGATAATATCTTCAGATACCAGTATAGCCAGACCAGGATTTGGCTTGGATGTTATTCATAATAGCCTGTTCTATATGTGATAAAAGTTTCGATTTTGGGCCATCATCAGGGTAATTTCAAGAATTTCTTGAAATTGGCCATAGAATTTTGTAGTGAAATCAGAAAGTAGTGAAGTTAGAGGTCCACTTGCGGATGTGTTTTGTAGTGCAAAGTCCGTCCCGTTTGGGAAAAAAGTTTATGTTTTGAGTCAACGCCAGACCACTTCCGAGCCTTTTTAAGTTTGCAATGTTTGGCTTTTATTTATCATCCCAGAAAACTGCGAAGTTGGAAATTCAGTTTTGTCTGTATTTTAAGGGGAAACTTCTGCTCCATTCGTGGAATAGTTTTGATTTTGACTTAACGCCAGACCATTTTTCAGATTTTTTTAAAGTCGCCATTAAAAGTTTGTGGATGTAAGTAAGGAAACGTAGTTTTGAGTTCACGTTAGGCCGTAGTTGATTATGCCGGTCTACATTTGGTATTTATTTTCTTAGAGACGAGTTCCTTTTGTAGGGCAGAGATCGTTCTATGACAGAAATAAAGCTTCGATTTTCAGTCAACATAAGAATTCGCTGAAGATTTTTGAAAAATTGCTATAGAATGTTGCGGTTTTTTATGCAGGCCTACGTTTGGCATTTATTTTAACGGAGACGAATAAATTTAGATACCGACTTTCGGGGGCATTTTATAGGGAAAAGTGTATCCTATTTACGTGGAAAGTTTCCATTTTGAGGCGTCTTTAGACCATTTTTTGCATTTTTTTTTAAATCGGCACTTATTTTCTCAGAGGCTACTAAAGTTATATCCATTTTCAGAGTATTTGCTAGGTCAGCGTGTATTATATTTGTCGAAAAAGTTTGAATTTTTTCATTTTTTGTGTCAAAATTAGGCAATATTTTATTCTTTTTAGTTTGCTATAATATTTTGTGGTTGCTTATGCAGGTCTAAGTTTGGTATTTATTTGCGCGTAGACCGGTGCACCTCTTGGATGCATTTTACAGAGCAAAGTTCGTTCTATACAACAAGGTAAAGTTTCCATACATACAACAAAGTAAAGTAAAATTTTGTCATCATCAGGCGATTTTCAAGACTTTATTAAATTTGGGATATAATTTTTTTGGTTGTGTATGCAGTATGCAGGCCTAAGCTTGATATTTATTTTTGCCATATCCAGAGAAGCTGAAGAGTCACATTTACATTCTTTTTGTAGAGCTTTGCAGATATCTTCTACGCAGATAGCTTTTCATTCAACTTCAGGGCGTTTTTATAAAATGTTTCGAGTTTTGTTTATATTTTGCGCGCCTGTTTATGGAAGCCAGCGTTTCACAGTTCTTTCCTCATAAACTAATCAAGCAAGTGACAAAAGTTTGGATTTTGACTCACCGTCAGGAATTTTTTGAGCCGTGTTTGAATGTATTACTGATTAAGGCCGATTATGCTCTACTCAGCGCCAACTTAAACATTTAAGAAAAATTAGTTGCAAAAAAACTTATTCTGTTATCGCAATTTATTACGGAAAAAATATCTGATCGCAGCGCTGTTTTTGCTTTCATTAGTGCTGATTTTGTGGGATGTTTCATGCACAATTTTTCGTAATATTTATGGATGTTCGAAGAAATTCAAAAAATCTTAATTGTGAATAAAAACGAAATCAGGTGATACTGAAATTATCTTTACTGTTTCCAATCTAAGAAACCAATTTATGTTCCTAAATCAGTTCTATTGAATGTTTCAATTCCCCAAATTCTCCACGGCTACTCCATAATTCCCCAAAGAGCCGCACAATAAAAATCATCCGAAAATCCGCTATCGGTTATGTAGTTAGCCACAGTAAAAGCTTTGATATATCTATGCTCCAAATATCCATGGCTAAATCGTCGTTTTACAATGAGGAGCACTTACGTTCTTTTCAACCTAAGTTTTATGATCCAAAGTCAGGATGCACTTACCCTTAAAATGTCGCCAACGAGGGATGCGATAAACATATTGTCCAATTTAACATCCTCATTCTCCAAGATATCCTGCAAAAGCCAATTGAAAAATGTCGGTTTCAATGCAACGTTGAATCTTGAATTATCCGAATGAAAATTGCTTACTTTTAAGCTTCCACGTGTACAATATTCAGTGACTATGCAAATATTTGGTGGATCAGTGCACGCTCCAATGAAAGCAATTAGATTGTCATGACGCAAATCTCTCATCTAGGAAAAACATGTAAAGGCGTTTTTTGATCTGTGGAAATCCTGACGCTTTCTTACCAATTTCAGCTCTTTTTTCATTTCGCGAGTGATGTCGATGGACTTTTTGTGCACTTTCTTGATGGCAAACACGCGTCCTTTGTAAATGCCTATTTGGGTGAAAATCGTCGAGTATCGGAAATCTGCGTCCGGATTGGAGCTTAGGGACACTTGACTGGTTCTGATAAACGGCTGGTTCGACTGGCATGAAAATTGAGGTAAATCAATATTTATTTAGCAGACCTAATTTTCTGGGAAGATAAAAATTAGCTGAGCTCAAAAAGCCTTAAAAGCCCGCTGATTAAAACAAGCCGTCCATTTTCTTTATGGGCACTCAAGTTTCATAGTCAATTTAAAGCATAAAACGAAATCTCCAAAGAACGCACTTTTGAGGCAATTGTCTCGAACTTCCAAATCAAAGTCTCAAAACAAAGCTCTTTGAAACGTGTTGGAAATTTAAAGAATGTTCGCAGAAACCATTTAACACTAGGACTCGCCAGGATGCAAATCTCCTTGTCTAAAAATGCGCTAAAGGATTGCACTGTAATCTGGAGCAAGGCATTTTTCTTTTGGCCCCATATACAAGAAAACGGAAAAAGCACAATAAATAAAGTTTCCAATTATCTTTACCTTCGGAAGTAAGACCAACACCGTATAAATTCAATAAAACTGGATTTAACAGTAAATCCGGGCATGGAGCAAAGCCAGGCAACGGAAAGATTTATTTCTTGAAGGGTCTATTTTTCAGCCAATGCCAGAAGGTTTACTGCGTTATTATAGTCGCAGCAGAAATATGGAAAAAATCAGTTCAACTTACTCGGGGCAGCTTGTTTCCGACTACATTGCTGTTCGGTTCACCGTTGATTTCCATATCGCGGTAGTCGATTTTCCATAACAGGCTATCTAGTTCCTGTTCGTATTTCCAGTTCCGGTATAACACCAAACAAATAATTAACATGATCAATACAACGCCACCAGCCACTCCACCAGTTATCTCTATCGTATGGGCTGCAATAAATCAGTAGACTTTATCTTTATGGTGCTTTCTGTTAAATTTTGCTCATTTAGATGGTTTACCAACAAGCATTAATGGGACATAAAAAACGGAATTTTTCTATCATGAGAACTCACAAAGGTTATAGAAGACATATTTCGACAGGTGTTAATATCAGGCACCTCCAAAACTATTTTCAAGACGAATCAGCTGGGTTTAGCCTGCAAATAACACGTCCAAAACCTGCACTTTTCCGTGTCTATGTAAAACACATTTGCGAAATAAAGTGTAGGTTTCGGGGGTGTTTTTTTTCTCAGGCTAAACCCAGTTGATGAGAGCTAATAGGCTGGAAACTAGTTCCAGGAGAGCCTGATATTTACACATCTAGAAAATTGTACCCACTTAATAGGAAACTTACTGATGCATTTTTCTCCTCGAAATCCACAAAAGGGGGCTGCAATCGGAGGCTCTCCGTTGATCCAATCAATACTGTCAATTAAGTGAAGAACCTTAAGGAAAATGAATCGGTCTTAGATAGACTTTGAAACTTTGAAAGGAAATTTTAATAAGCTGTTTATTTTTATTTTGTTAAGTCAGCTTTTATTGCCTTCAAGTCCTACAGCCAGATTTTTTCTAATATACAGGCTGATTGGGTGTTGAATAATGCAGATGTTCCGGAGGCTTGTTGGGAAATGAGTTAATTTGACTTATAGCGATTTTGCTAGAAAATTTAAATTAATTTGCTATTGAAATTAGCTTTTGGCCGCTAAGATGGACGCTGGAAGCGGAGCATTGAAACTTGAGGGAATTGCTTTAAAACCAATTTAAATAGTGAGAGACTTACTTAACTCGGTCTGATTTATTAAGTATTTATTAGAGATTGTGATCCGCAAATCTTTGGCAGTCAATTCGACTTCATTCACTTCAAGCCTGTGTTGAAGTCATCAAAATTAACCTGTTTGATGTGCATTTTTGCTTTACATTGAACGAAACGGCTGAAGCTTTGAAAATTGCATTACAAATGCTTATTAGTTGCGCTAATTTTAGGTTGCAAAAGGACTTTCGCAAAAAAATTGTTGAGACTGGGCGATTTTCGGACTGAAAATTACTTTTCCTAGCCAGATACAAACTGATAACTAATTTATTAATTAAAGTAGACGAGAATGCAATGTGAACCTAAATTTGGTCGATTTTTGCAAATTAATAGCAAAATCATTTTGAAAGCAAATTTTTAAACATTTTTATTAGCTATTTTGCTGTATGAATTAAATGCCAAAAGATGCGTTTAATCATCCGATACCTTTTTCGTAGATAATAGACCGGACATATCAAAAGTCCCAAACTTTCTTCGGTTAACAAAGTAAATTTAAAAAATGTATATAGAAAACGTTCTTAAATTCCTGGTTTTATTTTGTATTATGGTTGCTTGTTTTGTTAGTTAACATTTGCCACTGTTGCTTCTGCCCTAAAAATATGGACGTGAATCCAAATATGGATGTGAATAATATTCCATATTTAGAACTTTCTAGTTAGCTGTTTAAACATTTATGCACAAAGAAAAAATAAACTTTTGGCAACATCAGAGTCGCTGAAGGTTACTGATATAAATAAGAACAGCTTTTACAGCGTGCTAATTTCAGGCACCTCCAGAACTGGTTTCGAGCCTCTTAGCTCTCATCGATTGGGTTCAGTTTTCTTTATTTGTGTCCATGTAAAATGCATAAGCATAAGTGCAGCTTTCGAGAGTGTTATTTTCCGTTCAAACCCAGCTGATGAGGGCTAATAAGCTCCAAACTCGCTCTGGGGGTGCCTGACATTACGGATTGAAATCTGTGCTTAATTGTATTAATAATGGGAAACTTAGTGACGCATTTTTTGCCTCGAAATACACGCTGAAGGAAGACGGGTTGGTCACTTGAAGAGTACCAGACAAATATTGATTTTTTTTATTTTACAGACTATAACTAATAAAATATTTTCTGATACTCTGTAAACATCCCCAGACAACACCCCTATAGGAATGACCCCAAATTCTGAATCACCCTAAGTTAAAAAATCAAAAAGGATGAAACTCTTAAAAAATACCGAAACAGTTAGTTGAACAACCTGTTGAGAAATGAACAACATTAGCCAGTTCTCAGGCAATCTGGTGGCTGGTGATTCTGTAATTTTCAAACTTTTTTTAAATTTCTCAGTCCAACTCTGCCCAGCTCATTCGACTTCCAACCCTGTCCTAAATCCGATGCATCAAAATTTATTAAACACTTGACTGACGCGTTACACATTTTTCATTTGCACTTTTTGTTGAATAATCAAACATAAACTTAACGTGTACGCTACAAATGCATTAAGCTGCATGAATAAATTTGCGTGGCGTTGTTTAATTAACTAATGTGAAGGCAGCGAAATATGATTGTTACGCAGTTAACCATTTGGCTACTGTTTACAATAATTAACGTGCCTATTATGACTGTAAGTACTTTCATTTGCTGTTTGGGGAGGATTAATCAATGGTATTTAGTTTGTAGATTGTGAATCGATTTTTCCCACACGCGACCAACAGGTGAATTTGCTCGACAATGTTCACGAACTGTTTGAGCAAATCAAGGAAGCTTCAACTAGCGAGCAAAATGCGTTAGAGGAATCGTTTAATGACGATATGGAGTCGAGCTTAAATATGGCAGTTTTATACAAAGAAACTCTTCAGGAGCTGATTATTTTAAGTAGGCTTGCATGCAAAAAACGAGCTTTAGATATTTTTTCACTGTTTTAGAACTGCGCTCGAACAGTAATGCTGTATGTTCATTTACCGCCTTTGACCAGATGGTAATCGTTGGAAATCGTACCACTGAGCAACTGGAAGTGTGCAAAACAATGGGTAATTTTCGCTTAGTTTCGGCTAGAATCTGGCTGAGTTTCAGACTGGAATTAATCAACTTTAATTACAACAAATTTGATAAGCGCCCGATGAAAACTATTCGAAAGCTCGCAAATTTCCTGCTTTGTTCCAACAGCTTTGCCACATAATGGCAATTATCTGCAAGCTAAAGCCGCTTTTCATTGGACTTTTCAGCAAGCTTAGAGCAATTACTGTTGTTCGCGATAACTTAATTTCGATAAGTACTGCATAGATTACTAGAATAGATTTTGGAGCAAATTTCAAAAATAACTGCTAAATAATCTGGGGAAGTTATCAAATACATTTAAAGGAAATTGGCACAGAAGGTTTTCCAGGTTTTTCATTAAGCAGCCAAAGGAAAATTGGCACTTGGGCCGAAAAATGCAAACCCTACTGCTCCAAATGTTAGAAAACCTCATTCCTGTTGATGTTGTTCATGGCTTCTGGCTTAATTACTGCCTGGAAATTCGGTGAATTTTAAGAACTAACTTCAAAGCTGATTAAAATCTTCTTTGGGTCGTTACGAGCCCAAGCGTAAACGGTTTGGTTTTGAATACACAAATTTTAATTTTTACTTGTTAGTTCTAATGTTGCGTTCAGACCAAACGAGCATTAAACATGTTTAAATTAAGACTGAATGCATTACATTCAAGGGTTTTTGGAATTGGTAATTTTAAAACTTCCTGAATATGGAAAAAATGTTCGTTGACTAACGATTGTAAATTGTTTGTTCAATTTTAGGACAAGATTCGTTAGTTTCAATGTTGGCAAAAGTAACATCGGACATGGAATTTGCCGTAAAAGCCGGCGAAAGCTTTCTGCTGAAGTTGAAATCGTGCAGTATCAAGAAAGGGCTGGCTGTAATAGCGTGCTATAATAAAATTATTCAAAACGACGTGATTCCAGTGAAAACACTGCTTTCGCAAGCGATCGAAAATCATCGGATTGCTCACATCGAACTATTTGGTTTGAAAAAAGCATTTAATCAGTGCATTGAGGAAACGATACACGAGTGCCGAAGTAAACTGGAACAAAGCTTCAACGATGGATTAACCTGTAACTAGGTTTTATTTAATAATAAATATCCTGACTTGTTTTTTGATAACAGGCATTTTTCAATTGAATTAATCAGCTTTAAAACGGGGAAAATAAACGTCGGGAAGTTAAACCTGGTAAATGCAATGTGGAAACACACGTTAAGATTGTAAAAGTTGTACAACAGGATTCGAGAAATTGACTTACAGGCAATCGGGACGCGGTTCGAGCAAATATCCCAACGGGAAATAAGCCGAATTGTTCCTTGTTATGCCTCAAAACTTTCCGGGCAATTAATGTGTAGTTGCCTTCAGCGTCGCCGTTTTCGTCCATAAAGACGATGTACCTGAAATTGAACATCGAGGGTAAACATTTACTCATTTGAATATAATCGATTCAATAAAATTCCTCAGTGATTTATTATTGGAGGCCGCAGAAAAAGCACTAGCAGGAACTTCTGTTTATTCAAAAGCGAAGGCTATTTAAGGAAACCCGCCGTTTTCTCCGACGACTTTTCATGTAAAAGCTGCGGAAATAAACGATGTCAATTTGCCATATAATTGAGTTAATTATTTTTTGGATTTATGTTCCACAGTGAAAGAGGGCCAGAATTTTAACCACTTCGAATCCAATTAAACCCAAAAATATATTTATACAAAGCGATTTAATTAATTAAAGAGGCAAATGAATAAACAGCGAGCGAAATTCCTTACCCCATTGCGCTCTTGTAATGGGTGTTTTTCATAGCTTCCACTATAGCAGTTCCATTTCTAGGGTCACCTCCGCTATCCATCACCTTCATTAGAGCCTTTGCATAGACGTGAACAGCATCATACAAATAAGCAGCCTCAGCCCTAATCTGCAAGAAGTTCTGAGGTTTTCTCAGACTTGCAACTAACTGCCAACTCCTTACCAACTTTCCACCTCCGAACTGAGACAAGGGATTGGGAAAACTGAATGGAGGCTTCTCCATGTAGTTGTTCACCATCACGGTGAAATTCTCAAACCCAACTGGACTGGATGGAACTATTCCCAAGTAGCTTTTGTAGGCTCTTTGAGCCACTGGATCGTTGGGAAAGTCTGAATCCCTCAAAAGCCCGCGCAGGTATTTGGAAGGATTTTTGTCGTCGTATTGTTCGATGTCGACTCCAACCACAAAGTACTCGCCTATGAAGGCAAAAGCTTGTGTAATTTCCTTCTCACAAACTCCAGGTAGTAACTACTCAAAATCCTCTCGGTGCATGGCACCGAAAAATAAACAGTTTTCTATAAAAGTCCCTAGAAAATCACCTACCTTTATCGAAAAGTTTCTTTTCCTCCATGGCGATCATTAAGCCTAAGTGCTCATAATGATGACCCAGTATGACAAAAACTAAAAGAGAATATTCCAAGTTAGACGCGGAAACTTTATGAAGGGAAAAGCCATTTTGCGGCAGTATTTGCTCTTTTATTTCCCGAATTCTGCTGTAATGTGGAAGTTCATATCGCAAAGTTTTAGTTTCAGGCCGAAGTGCCGTTTGGATGGTGATTTCAGTCATTTAATTAATTCTAATTTGACCCAGACATTCAAATTTGGTTCGCTTTTTTTGGTTTTATTTCGCATTTGCCATCAATACATTTCAGTGGTTTTCAACAGTCATTCAATAAAATCTAATCTGAAGCAAATGATTCTTAATGACTATGACCACCGATGAAAGTTCTGGAACACGATTTTCAAAACGACCCACTTCTCTGGACAATAAATATCCAGCCAATGAACTCTGCCCGAATAAAGTTGAGTAGTTTGCCAGAAAATACCGTTTTAGGTTCAAGACTGGTTTCGCCGAATTTGTGGCTCTTTTGTGCGTCCACTCTGGATGTTGTCTTTGTGATTTATTCATCTTCGCCTTTTTTCTATGGAAATTTATTGCTTGATATTCAAATAAATGAGTTTGCTAGACTAGGTCCGAATTTTAACGGAGCCCGGTATTTATTCATTTGGAAAATCAATGTTGATTGTTTGAAGTTGAAGAACTCAATATGTACATTTCAGCAGTAAAACTCACAGAAAGGTTTTTGATCCCAAATTAATGAAGAATGGAAAACTAATTCAAAAAGATACAGATGCTTTTTTTTCGGGAACTATCGAATCGTTTTATTTTTTAAATCCAAAAGTGAGCGTTTTTTTTCTCCCGAAGTGAATGTTGAGTTGAGAGAAAATTTTTAATTCACAGGAAAAACTAGTTTATTGGCGTGCTTTGATTTTTTCGAAAAAATATTGAATATTGCCGTAATGTTCTTGCCCAATACAACGGTTTTTTAATCGATATCTGTACATTTAAGAAAAAAAATTAATAGAACCTTTTTTAACTGAATGTAGAATAGAAAAAACGTTTTCTTGCCACACACTGACCCGCTTTGTTTTCTGGAAACTATCGGTTCATATTTTTTTAATCCAAAACTGTATATTTTAGCAGCAATCCCAAAGAAGCGATTTCCTTCCCAACTGAATGTAGAATAGAAAACCTATGTTGATTTGCAGCAAAAATGTGCAGGACGGAACTGTCTTTTTTGGAAAGTAATTTTCTCGGACAATCCTACAATTTAACTTTTTAAAATCAAAAACAGAGCATTTTAGTCCAAGAACAACTACAATTCATAAATAATTTTTATTTGTAGAAAAACCGTTGATGTGCATTCGTTTTTGTTTTTCTGGAAAGTATCAAATTTTATAAATTGCGTTAATTTTCTCGAACAGCGGTTTTTTATTTTTTAATCTGAAAATGTGAGCGTTTTTGGCCGAACTGAATGTAGAATTGACATCTAATTTTTATTCGTCGAAGGCATTGGAGTGCTTTACCTTTTTTCCGGGAAATTATCGAAAATATCGGACAATACAATACAAAAATACCATTGACCTGCACGGATGTTTGTTGTTGTAGAAAATTAATTGTCTCGGTCCACATTTTTTAAATTTTTAAAACCTTCTTGAAAGAGCTTCTTGAAAGCCTTCTTTCTAACTGAGTGTGGAATTGCCGAATAGACGCTGGGGTGCCATATTTTTTTTCCTGGAAACTATCGAATGTTATATATTGCGGACATTTTCTCGGACAATACAATGGTTTGTATTTCTTTAATTCAAAACTGTGCTTTTTAGTCCAATAGCTCGAAGGAGGTTTTTTCTTCTCAACTAATAATAGAATTAAAAAATAATTTTTATTTGCAGAAGCACCGTTTCTTTGTAAAGCAAAAAATGTTAAAAATTGATGCTTTTTTCCCATATGAATATAGAAATGAAAATAACTGTTATTTGCTGCAAAATCATTGGCGTGTACTGTTCTTCTTTTTGAAGAAAATGAAATGCGAAATATTGTGTAAATTTTTTCGGACAAGATTAAAATTTCTTTTTAACACAAGATCCAAAAATTATGCAAATAATAGAAGTGAATGTAAATATCATGCAAAGACCAATAGGAAGTCGAGAGCCCCATCAATTTTCTGAATGTTTATTCAGAACCTCGTTTTTCCTGATCGTTCCCGAATGGAAACACTTCGAGCCTAACAAAGTAAACAAGAATGGACCTTGCAAAATAACAGGATTAACGCAAAAAACCATTGATTTCTATTTCATATAGAGTAAAATTCCCAAAGTGAAATACTGTTACAACGCATTAGACCTCCAGCTGAAAAACCAACAATTCATGTCAAATTTATGATGGCAAATGTGAACTAGTTTTTCCAGGATCTTATTTATTAGGCCAGTGAACCAACCTGTCGATTTGATTTGTACCATGTTATCCATATCGACATGCCATGGGAATAAATCAAATTTCCCATCACATTTATTCGATTTGAACAGTATTTTTGTAGGCCACATGTTTCATTTTTCCAGCGTCCGATGTAGAGCTTTTGTAAAATCTGTCTGTTATAATTATATCGTTTAAAAAAGTTGTCGGCAGCCAGCGCTCATGCAAGCTTTAATGTATATTTTACATACGATTTTTGTGCAAAAACTGTGCGTTATTTAGTGTTCAAAGCGCCAATGGCACTTAAGTAAAAACATATAAATTCAAAATGTTTGCACATACTCACTTCTAGTGTCGCGATAAGTCTCTTCCACCAGCTTAACAAATGGATTGTCCATGTATCCATGATGGTAGGGAGAATCCCAAAATTTCGTTGCAATTATCGTTATTCCGAAAACAGGCAAAGTGTCCTTTAGGATTGTGGCGATGTTAATGAATTCAAACTCTGGGGATTTCAGGTACAACAACACTACCTGCATAACACACAAAACGCAATTAATGTTCATACTCAGCATTTTGTTGCTCTTATTGCAGTTGGTGTATTATTTGTATTAGTTAGCTGCAAAATGTGCAGCTGATTCGATTAGCTAGATTAGCAAGCCATTAAAGTCCTGAAAGTTTACTAGTTGCCTCGCAGATTTTCGCATCAATTACTCACTTTACTTAGACAAATTCGTGTTTAGATTGTGGCTTTTGGAGCAAGTAAAATTCCATTTGGTGGCTGTGCTCTACTTTGCAAAAAATGTTTGTTGTCTTAAAGTGTATCAGATTTATCAAATGTTTTTGCCATTTTGCTCTTATTGCCACTCGTAAAATTTCAGTGCTCAATTCAATAACTCTTCGAGAAAGCTTGGCAAGAAATGAGTGAATATATTTATTTTTTGTCTGCGATACGCAGGAAACCCCGAATTGTCAAAGGCAAGTAACGTAGACGGGACTTTTCATGCTTATTTTGTACCGTTTTTAAAATCTCAAAGCATCATTTACCACCGTCTACCTAATGGAAATAGCTAAAAGAATCATCATCTAGTTCATGCTAAAATCATTAGTTTCTGCACTAAAAAAATGTCGATTTGGCGTTTTCAGCAACACTAAGCAGCTGTTTGAATATATAAAGTTCAGTTGATTTTCCAACTTACATGAGTCCAGTTAAAAGCAGTCAGAACCGAAACAACCGACTTGGATATCTGTGTGTCCGGAGGTCTGGTTCTGGCAAACGTTGGAAATTTGGCCTTATCAGACGTAGCCGAATAAGTACAGAACTACGAAGAACAAAAGCGAATAATTAACACTCTCGCTTAATCAAAAGGCTCCTTTTAACTATAAGGGCAAAATTGCTTTAATTTAGTCTAGACGATCAGCATTAAAAAGTGGAAATGACTGCAAATCACTGCATGATGGAAGACTGGAAGTTAAAAGGACGCTTTGTAATTAAATTGATGACGAAAAACTTTTATCTAGCGGTATTAAATGAATATCCTCAAAAACTGCTCACTGATTGATGGCACTAATTTACCTAATGGACAGTTAATCCGGAAAATATGGAAAGCAAAATTCAGGGATTAAAAACGTGATTTGGCCTGATAGTTGTCATAGCTGGGAAGAGTAGGTTAAGCTCATTGGTGAAAGCTTTGGCATGAACTAATAAACAAGCAAGTCGAGGCCAATTGCAAAGCCGAATTCCGAAAAGAACCAAAGCCTATTCTAATGGCCAATTACTTACATAGGAAATCATGGGCACATTAAAAGCCGAAGCCATAAAGGCTTCATGCTCGCAAGTCTCCTGAGGGCCAATGTAAGCGGAAACATTGCGCGTCCACAAATCAGCGGTTTTCTGGACACTGATTATTTCTTCGCCGAAAGTTTCCTCAACAATAAAGTAGATCTGATGGCCGCGTTTTGCCAGTGTTCGATTCACTTCTTCCACTGCCAAGGAAATGGCTCCCGATATTGTCAAACCTGGACGGGAATATTCTCGGTCTCCTGAAACAAAGAAACTGGATTTAATTTTGAGGTTTATTGTCGGGAATAAGCGTATTTCGTATTGGTAAACTTTCTGGTCCCAAATGGCACAGAATCGAAGAGGGACAGTTTCTTGCAACTGGGAGTTTGTTTTTGGCGGATAAATTACTTTATGTTTGCATTTTGGCAGGAAAACACAACGAATTTCTGTTGAAAATTTTAGCTGTTCAACTAAGTTGCAGGATTTCCCCAATGCGACGATTTAAATTCCTTCAGATGACAAAAGCTGTTTCTTATTTCTTTGCTTTATTTTGCCGTTTTTTTGTAACATGTTACTGTTGCATTTTCGGTGGAACTAATGGAAAATTCTTGAGGGAGGGCAAACGGGAAAACAGTAATAAAAAGTGAACAGTTCAACAGCGAGCATCGTTACAGAAATTTGGAAAAGTCCAAGCCGCATAAATATTTTATCGCTCATCCAGTTGCCATAAAACATTTTATTATCCACGATTTTATAACGGAGAGCCAAAAAACGGCATTGTAAAAACCTGAAGTTAATCGCAAATCAGCAAAAAAATATGGTAATCGCGAGAATAATTATCGTAAAAGTCTTCATCCAGAGGTTTTTTTTAAATTAATAATCGCTTTCATGTAGTCTCAGGAAGCTGAGAACAATACAATAAATACATTTTACCTTAAACTTAAAAGTGGATTAAGAAAGTATTTAGCTGAATGCCTAGCGGTTTGGAAGCCACTTTGGTGTTTCCTGATTAGAGCCAATTTGCTCAAAAAAGGGATTACATAAGATGTGGAATTTATGATGATGAATAATATGTGGAAACCATGATTTAGTTAGTAATTAAATTAATCCAACTTTTGTATTTGCTTATTTTCATAAGGTGTTTGTTTGTTAATTAATTGATAATCTTTTCAACTTCGCCTGTGTTTTATTTCAAACCGTTTTTGTTGAAACATCAGTTGGTTCATCAAGGCGAAGAATTTTGAATTAAGACGGTGTATTCTAAGAGAAAATTCCTGGAACATTTGAAGATAACTCCTGCCAATGGGTCTCTGAGGAACAGTTTAAAAAAGTTTTTTTCGCGTACCTTCATTTTAATTACTGAAGGATTATTCTAAAAATAATAATAAGGAAGCTAAAGAATTGACTTTGAATGCATTGATTCTTATTCTAGTCACTACACGATGATTAATCTTTAATTCTTCTCAATATAATTTGCTGTTAGTTTGGAAGTTGACAAAAACATGTTTTACTCAAAAAACAGGACACACAAAACTGCCAAAGCATTGGCTGATTAAAGCAAAAGGACATAAATCATGGACTCACCTGGTCTTCTTTGCGATCCAGTTAAGTATCCGATTGTAAAGTTGTCGCTGCTGATTTTCGTTGTGATACTTGCCATAACCAATAAGATTTTGAGCATGCTATCCTGCGTGTTTCACCTGGAACAGCAACGATAAAAACTAATTTCACTTCAACAACATCAATTAGAGCAAATGCTTCCGCACACCCCTTCAATATCCGGTCGATTTATCACTTTAAACGTTCGCAATTCGAAATTGGTTTCATCTCTGCTTCTGTTTGCAAAAGTGTAATATTTTCGCTGTTAACATCCTCAAACTAATAAATTGGCGCTAAATTGTCCATAAATTTAAAAATAGTTTGGCGACTGGAACATCCCACTGGATGATATTTTCGGCTCGATTAATGCGAGAGAATAATACAGGAAAGTATTTGCAATCTAAAGCTGGTGACATGTGGAAATGATTTTCGAAATCGGTCAAAAGGATTTTTTGCTTTCTTTGCGTAGCTCAATTGCCAACAAATGCGGAAATAAAACTATTTTAAACTTAAAAAGCTCCTATGATAATAAGTTTTATTTTGGATTCCTGTTCGCTTTCTTCATCACACAATCCCATTCGAGAGCCAATTCGATTTGGGGGATTATTGGCGAAACCCAATTAATTATTAGTTTAGCCTGCCTACAACAGTATCAAAATAATCAAAATTGAATCAGAGCAGAGCTAAATTAGATCAACTCCACACTAGGGCTGTTTAGGTCCATTAGTGGGCTTGTTCCAGCCGAAGCAGGGTGTGAACTGATTTTCGGGATTTCCGGGAAAATATCACTGCTCCTCTAACAAGCATTAACTAACTAAAGGACGTACGCTGGAGCACCAAAACATCTTGAGAAACTTAATTAAAAAAATGTATTTGACTTACTATCTAGAGAATCTTCCGTCTGCATAAACATACAAATTTTTTGCGGCAAACTAATTTTTATGCGGCTTTTCAGCGTCCGGCAATTAATTTTGGTCCAGGACGTTGAAGGAGATGGAAATTTTATGCTGTGTTGGATTATGGCGAAGTATTGTTTATAAAGGGCGAAAATCTGTTGTGCTTTGCACGAGCCACTTGTAGGTGGAAAATTGCCGAACGCCTTCAGAATAGCAATTTTGCCAGATTAATTAGAACGAATTTCGTATCTCGTAAGGCTGTTTTTGGGAAGATGGTGCTGTTCTAGGTGAGTCGATGATTAAGGAATTTTTCACAATTTCTCTAATTTTTGGGTCGCGAATATTAGTTATTAATCCGCAATTTGAAATTATAGCTCCAAAGCCCCATTTAGAATTGGGGAGGGAATGAAATAGTGCATGTATTAATTCCGCATGGACAAGCTTTAGTGTAAAATATCTTCCCATTCCCTTTGGTACATGCACACTGAAATTTATTGCCGGAATATCAATGCTGACTGAAATACCGAGGCGTTAAGCCCTTTTAGTGCGTTTAGTGTAATTTACTGAAGTCAAACATCGTGTAAATCAACTCTTCGTCGGAGTTTTTTTCTGAAATCTGCTCAACTTTGGCTGAAAAACTTTCATAGCATCTCAAGCAGTCCATGACAGGTTGTATTCCTTTGGGCATTGTGCTCTAATTATTTATGGGTCTACATACACCTAATCCTACACAACAGTTCAGATAATTTATGAACTTCCTTCCAGTTTAATGTATTATAGAAGTAGTTTGCGTTGTGTGCACCCGAGAATAGGCAAATTTCCAACATAAACGATGTGGTTGAATTTCTATTAACGTTGAATTTCATTAAGCCAACCATATTTTCAGTCTTGTTTGCGTCCATATGGCATTTTTTTCTTTTGCTCCATTTAAATCCAATTTACGCAAAGTTTCAGCACGAGTTTCATTTCAAGCGTTCGTATGCAGCGAAAAATATAATTGCCGTGGAAAAACGTCGCACCTTTTCAAATGTTTTTAACAGTGAAATTCACTTTAAATTAAGTTCGAGTAGATATTCCTATTTAAAAAAGGCGTTTCCGTCTGGATGTACAAAGTGAGGAATCCGAATAACGCAATTAAGTGCGTTGGTAACAAATTTAATATACTTTTTCCAGTCCAGCTGGATTAAATTTCGCATTAAACGAGATGAGATGGAATCGTCTGGCTGTGTACCTTTGGCGATTTAATTGACGAATTTCCAAGTAACATTGTAATTAGAGAGCCGATTTTCTTCTATTAAAGTATGTTTAGAAGATTTGCGGGCTTTTATTGTCAATGCTTTGAAGCAAACAGTTGTTTTCATTTTACCGCGATTTTTCGCTTGGAAGTCGTTTGAAAATTTCGGTCTTTGTGCAGGATTAATTAATTAAAATTAGGAAAGAATCTAAAGAAGATACCAAAAATTGGAATCACAAGCTTTAATGAACATATTGATAAAATTCTTCAAAAATTACAATATTTCTTATTTTTTTCTAAGTGAAAGTGAGTGATTGAAAATTATAAGTGAGAGTGTCTGTTTAATGTTTAGTTTTTCATTTTATAACTGCGCTTAATGTTTAAGAAAAATACATACATCCATAAATTCAAATTAAAAAATGAACAATGACTGATTCGTATGAGCCTGGAGGTTCGGAGAAGACATCAAATGAAGCACACGATGATGAAATAATGAAATAAAAATATCTATGTTTTAGTGGGGTTTTAGTATAAGGAAACATTCAGAGCTGTGCTAAAAGCAGGAACACATTAGAACATTTCTTGCGTACAAAAATAAACGGAAAATTGGTCTTGAAAATATTCTTCGCGATAACAGAAAAACACCTGCTTAATTTACCTCTGAATTCATCCAATTTTGTAGCTACAATATAAAATACCATCGAATCCTCCAAAGAAGAGAATTTTGCATAAATCAAATATTGCAAGTGAAAAAACTATACAAAAACAACAAATAAACTGGAAAGATTACTTAACTTAATCGCGAAGTGAACTGAAAACACGTTACACTATGAAACTTTCTGAAACTGGTCAAGAGTTAAATGCTGATTGATTGACTGATTGGTGCAAGAACATACTCAAACCGCAATTTGCACCATTAGTTAAAAATATGTACTTTTAATGAAGTTTTTAGGACAGGGCGGGAAGACCTTTGAAAATTTCATATGTGCCAAAGTGAACGAAAATATTGTTCTAAAAATGTTCTTCGGGCGAACTCCCGAAACTTAAATCGTAACACTCTACTGCGTAAAGTGCTCCTAAAAATATAGACCTAAGTATACAATTTTTTGTTTTTGCCACCAAAATGGCAGCCTAATTCCTCCCTGCCAAGCTTTCGTTTCAGAACTAGTGTTATTTAGCTTTTATACATCTTATGAGCCCCAAATTTAAGGTCCTAAAACTATGGAGATTGAGAAAAACACTTGCCTAATTTGCCTCAATTTTGCAAAACAAGAAATGAGCATAACTTGAATAGAATAATGAAATATTAGAAAAACTATAGAAAATAACATGGAAAAATTGCGAAATGAATTCGAAACACGTTACACTCTCAAGCTTCCTGAAACTACTCAAGAGTTAAGTGCTGATTGAGTGAGTTTGAAATTAAAGTCGAACGGAAATAATAAGCTTGAAAAGAACATCGGGACGCTCTGAACAAAGCGATGTATACGTTTACCTATTTCAATTATTTAGAAAATTTTTAGTTTTTCAGAACAAAATAGTATGAAAATTGGTAGGTTTGCAACAAAATAGCCTGAAACAAACATAAATATCAAGCATTTGCCACCCAGAAAAGCAAATAACTCTGACTAAAGCTGCTGGGTCATATTTTAGTAGATACGTACAAAGAAAAACTTTGTGCACACTTCCTGGATCATAAAGAATATTTAAATGAAAGGAACCATCCACTGGTAAACTGCATCCACTTCCGTTAGCAAACCATTCGGCTGGAAAGGAGTTTAGACAGTTGCTTTAGCAATAAGATATATGGCTTATTGGTATGTGAACCAGCTCAAGAGTTAAATGGTTCCTAAAATTTTCAAGTTAGATGCTAATTTGCAAAGGAACTGTTCATGACAGGCAAAATCGATATTGGCCTGACATGCAGAGTGTTTATTGCTTTAACGCAGCCTTCCAATTGCTTGCTATTAAGCTGCATGTAATGAATCAATAATCTAATATTTAGATCAAAGTTTTGCAAGTTTCTAGTTCAAATGTAGAGTATAGAAACGGTTAATAACTCTTGCCTCAATATAGTCACAGATTCCCTGGGAGTTTGAGTCAGTTACCTAATTAGGTTAAACAGCCAATGTTTCCACACTAAATTGGCTCGCACTAAACTGGTGCCGCATTAATTTACTTCTATTGCAAAGTAAAAGGGCAAAATACATTTTTCTAGCAATTTATCAGTAATGCCATAATCACACTACAGATTTGCAAATTTTCACTTCTAATTTAGAGTGTGGAGACTGTAAATAACTGTTGCCTCAATATAGTAGATGTTTGAGCGCATTACTTAATTATATTAAACAACTATTGTTTCCAAATTAAATTCGCTAGCAGTAAAATGGTATTTGCATTAGTTAGCTTCTAATGCGAAATAAAAAGGAAAAGCAGGTTTTTCGAGCGATTTATCAGCAGTGCGATCCATGTATTTCACATGGAATTCAGAGCTTTTCCAAGTAGAACTTTAACCACCCGTAGCTCTCACCCTGAGAACCATATTAAGTGTTTCATGGAATCTCATTATAGCTTTCAGTTCACAGCATGTAAGCATTACAAATCGGGGAGCTGTATTTTGAGCAAGCATGGTTTTCATATATTTTCTAATCTTATTAAAATGAATTTGGCAGAAACTAAAAAATTCCAGCAGAATAGAGGCGAATGATTATCTGCAAAATATTAATTTGTATTTAGATTCTGTTGAATAGCGGAGATTTTTCATTAAGCGCGCTTATGATTATTTGAAAGCATTTTTACGAACGCGAAGTAAACGAATAAAGCGCGCACTTTTCTCTACTCAATTGTCAACTAAATCCGCCTAAAAGCTTTGAAACTTTATTTTTCAATTTGCTTCCTAAGCAAAAGCGTTTTTAATACAATTCATTCTCTAATAGATCCATGAAAATATTGATGAACCCCGACTGAAATGCATCCCCACTTGGATGTGGCATATCATAATGAACTTGCGTCTTCGTTTTTCAGAAATCGATTATCGTCCATGTCGAAACCACTTGGGTATTATCAATTTTTCAATGGAAATTCGATAAATATGCACGTACTGTATTCTACAGCAGTTATTGATGATGTTGTTGCACTCTATTTGACCCCCTTACATGTCG